ACCGTTTCTCCACTACCAGGTCCATTGCAAATGAATGGTTTGCTGAACACGGAAGGCATGCGAAGTGTTTACCGACGAATGAGAAGTGTTGGCTTGTTTTCATACCGGCCACACTGGGTCCTCCCTTTAACTCGAGAACACCGACGTAATCGCCTGGAGTGGTGCAGACAACGGTAACTCTGGGATCAGGAATGGAACAGTATTGTATTTAGTGACGAGTCTCGATTTTGTTTAGGCATGCACGATGGCCGTGCCAGGGTTAGAAGGTGACGTGGTGAAAGGAGGAATCCACAGTTTTTTGTTGAAAGACATCACACTGTTGGAGTTATGGTTTGGGGTGCTATAGCTTATGGTTCCAGGTCACCTTTAATCTTCATCAGAGGTAACATGAACGCGCAGCGTTATATCCACGAAGTTCTAGAACCCCATCTTTTACCCTATCTTGACACCCTGGCAGATCCAACTTTCCAACAAGATAATGCCCGACCACATATTGCAAGAGTCACAATAGACTTCTTTCAACATAATGATGTCACATTGTTACCATGGCCACCAAGATCTCCCGACTTATCCCCGATTGAGCACGTGTGGGATATGATGGATAGGAGATTGCTCAATTTGCAACGTCCTCCTCAGACTCTAGAGGCACTTCGAGAGGAGTTGGTGGTTGCCTGGAATGAGATACCACAGGAGAATATTGACCACCTGATCAGAAGCATGCCTAGGCGCGTTGTAGAATGCGTAGCACATCAGGGTGCATCCACACATTATTAAAGGTCAAAGGGCTTTAAAGCAATGCAATCATTTTGAAATTGTTATCATTTACTTATTATGCTTCATTAAGTACTTATACAAAATTTTATTAAAATAAAACCATTTAAACTGGGTGTTCGGATTTATATGTCACTTAGTATATATTCATGAAGCCACCAGTATTCATATCCGCAATTTAAGATAATTGTTCTTTATAGTATAGACTCCATGAAAATACTGGTAAAGGATTTGTCACACTACCAGTACAGACATAATTTGAAATTTAATATAGGTATGTCTTAATGGACATATAAATAACTGAAACTAATCCTTTGGTAGGTTGCGTCCCCCTATATTACTGGTACATTCAGCAATTCATGACTTAGCGATTTTATTGCTGCTCTGTGAGAAAAGTCATCGTAAGCTTGCATTGTCCCTCAAATACTCAAATACCCTGTTATCTATGCGTCAGTCAAGAAATGTTTACTCAACAATGCCTACCAACTCAGCATAGTTTTATAAAGGGCTGAATATAAAGATATTGAAAGCAATTCCCGTACAAAAGCGATAATATCATTGGCGCTTCTTCTGTTGTCAAAATCTCTAAAGCCACACCACCGATTTTTAAGGAATTCCAAATGCCGCGTGGTGTTAGATGCTACTAGTCAGGTACACTTTAAAAATACAAGAATGTTGCAGACTATTCCTAGTTTTTTTTTTGTATACTCGTAGTTTCCTTTCGATTTTTGGTAGATTGCAATGTTTTGTAAGTTTCATAACTAGTCAACTTCTGACTACCTGAGGGCGTAATAAAAAAAACAGAGGTTGCAAGAGCTATGAAAACTGACAAAAAGTATTAGTTCCAGCGTCTGTACAACTATTTAGTGCGAATCGTGTGTAAATCTGGTAAAACCTTATTTAGATCTGTTGTTCACATATCTACATCTAGATACTTTTAGTGACTGGGAATTTTGATATTAGAGAAAATTTTTTTGTTGGAAAACTGTTATAGTACATCTGGAATTTATAGATTACGAGTTAAGAGTCCTTTCCAGTAGCTGTGATTTTACATGTAAAATAATATGAACCTGTGTTTCTGGTTAATTGCTTGTAGCGCGTTTTTTGTATACGAAGGAACTGTTCCAAATAAGAAAGTTGTTAACAAGTACAAAATGAATCCGTAGCGTAAAAATACACTACAAGATATGGCTCTGTCCACCTAGCGATGACGGATCTGACATAATTATGTGTCACTTGTCAATATGGGGTATTCTGAAATATTACTAGATGATCAGCTGTTCTTCTAGTGATAGTGACTTGTCCAAGTCGACAGCGCGAATCGCGCGTTTTGTATGTTGCCACTTTTTTGCGACGCAGCGTTCGACGTAACGAGATCCCAGCAGAGCGGCCTGAAAGCCGAGCCGGTGGAGATTTTGTACTTATTTGGGTGCAAATGTGCGAGAGCCGGCCCGAACGTTCGCGGAAAAAAGTGGAAAAAGGACGTGAACGCGTTTTCTGCTAAATGGGACGAGCGGTCCGTAGTGTCAGGACCAAAGCTGACCGAAGCACAAAGGCGGGTCTGTAGGAAATCAGAAGGGTTATTCAAATTCTAATTCTTTGTTATCCCGAGAGATATTACAATGTATGTAAAGGATTCGACAGAATAAAAACTGACAAAACAACACAAAGTAAATATATGCATAAAACAAGCAAAACAAACATAAATATATCATAAAACAACAAACTCAGAGACGGCATATTAACATTTATTTATAAGAAATGCTATCAGTTGAGCCTTAATATTATGTACATCTCCTCACTCTCTATTATGATTTGGTATCCTATTGAAAATTCGTGGACCCAGTATTTCCGGAGATCTGACGATGATTTTGTACTCGGCAATACACACATTTATGTCGCCAGCTTGCCTGGTCGAATACGAGTTAAAAATGCTTAATAACCTATTTCTGTTAATAAAAGTATACAGTGATTTCGTGTAAAAATAATGATGGCAGTTAAAATCTTAAGACGATTAAAAAAATATTTTTAAAAGAATGCCTAGTACTGACTTCTATCATCCATCAAATTACTCTTTTTTTGCCAAAAAACTGTGCAGATTTTTCATAAGATGTGTTCGGGAGTTTATCTTTGAAACAATATATAAACAGCGGTCTTTAAAATTTATACCTATACAAGCCCAATAATTTTACATGCGTTGCATGTCAAGGGACATTATTGAGCCAATAAAAGTGATATTTAATGCCACAGGTTTAGTCTGGATGTTATGAAATTGGAAAATGATACTTTTTCAGAACTTAAGTAGAGCCCATTGCTACTAAACCACTTGTGAATATTTTGCAATAAAACTCCACTGTTTCTCTCTAAGGTAGCCTCACGCTTATTCGATATCACCACTGAAGTATGATCTGCATGTAAAATGAATCTTCCTTCAAAAGGAGCAATGATCAGGGTTATTTAAGTATACACTACATAGCACAGGTCCTAGAATAGAGCCCTGAGGGACGCCCATAGCCTATGTCCGCCATGTCGGACTTAATCGACGCATCCAGAGCACTATCGACAATATTTACAGATTGGGACCTTATTCAATGATATATGGTGTACCATTTATGCCATACTTTCATATTTTTTGCAACAGCGCTTCATGATTTTCACTATACAGTTCATATTTCGATATCATAAAGCTCGTAGAATCTCTTTTAAAAAATGTTTGTTCAAATCGTTGTTTAAGGTACGATCTATCGAAATAAGATGCAAAGCTGGGTGGCTGTGTTATGAACAGATGGACGAAAGCATCATCTTTAGCTCATTCAATGGCAAGTAGACCACATCTACTTTGCACCCCAGCTAGCGGTCACGTGGTGACTTGGCTACTAATCGTGAACTGAAATCTTCAACAGTTACTAATAGTAGCTAAGCGCTTCCTCGGTGGTCGATTGTGGTGATAGATGGCGCTTTCCGCTGCCTGTTTTTTTAGACCATTCATTCTGGATAAAGGCTAGTTGCGATGCTGATGAGTAGCCAAGAAGCACGAAAGAACTGTCCATGGTTGTTTTTTTAGTCGTATCGACAAAAGCATCATGTTTAGCTCATTCAATGGCAAATAGACCACATCCAGTTTACATCCACGGTGTCAGTCATCTAGCGGTGACTTGGTTACTGGGCTATTAATCGTGAACTGAGATCTTTAACAGTTCCAACAAATAGCAGCTGAGTCATCCTGGAGTGGCTTTTTCTGGTTGTTCTTAATATCGATTGCACATTCCTTTTAAAAGTGCTTCCCCCTGATGAAATCTGAGTCGGAAAAATGAAAATTTCAAAATACCATATATATCAGCGAAATAAAGATTTATCGGCAAACAACGACATTTAAGAGAGAAAGGCTCGTGGATTAAGAAAATGTCTATGGCTTCTTAGAAAAAAAAAAATCGCCATGCCACGTAACCTCAAATATATGCTAAAATTGCTATTGTTGCACATTAGGTGGGATACATTGGAAACTAGAGCCATTTGAGAATTTAGGGAAAGTACGCTCTTTTACGAAGGAGGGGTCTAATTTTGTTTGACAGAGTTATTTATGTGGACTCTTCGTGGTTCAATTATTTACCTAGTGAGAGATACGTAAAAAAGTGAGTAACTGCGTAATACCGCCCACCTTACTACACGCCACTGATTTCCAATCGCAGAGCCCTTTTTTACGCTCCCACCGCACACAAAAAGTTAAATAGTCCGATCGCATCGGTAAATTAAGACATGTGACAGTCAGACATGTTTTTGCTGGCTATTATAAATGTCACTGGGTGCAGTTTACCGCCCCCTTTTTATCTACCGTGTAAATGTACTCATTGTTAGTTTGATTATTTGCTCCAGCGTAACGAATCTGGCTTGATTTTGTTTATATTGCTTGTAGGCATGAACTTCGTGGTACAGGACAACGTCATTTACTATATGTTGCTGAATCGTTCCGTCATTCATTAAAATCCAATAATTTTATCAACTATCAAGCACCGTTTCTTCGTTCCATCGTTTCCAAAATTTCGGTATTTTCAAACTTTTGAAGATTTTTAACATGCTCAAGATTCTCAAACACTTCAGGTGGTTGGCAACTGCATAGTGATATCTCCCTAGGAGACATACTTTCAAGGGTTGGTGCGCGTTTATTCGCAAATTCCAAATTCACATTTACAATTTAAACTACAACATGTCTGATCCATCATTTGTTGCTTATACAATACTGACAGTACCAGCTCTAGCTCTAGCCGCAGCTTCAGCGGCACTTTTTACACTGGACCCAGCAGCATCTCTAGAATTAGCTCTTGCATCAGCTTGTGCAGCTGATCCACTGACCACTCCCTTGGACTTTGAGCCGGCTACTGCGCCAGCAATGGCCCCAGACTGCGCACCAGCTGATGATGATCCTCTAGATACTCCAGCAGCTCCTGAGCCAGCGGCCGCACCTGCAGCAGCACTTGCTCCTGACACTCCTCCAGCTACTCTTGACCCAGAAATTGCTCCAGCCTGTGCACCATCAGAAGATCCTCTAGATACACTAGAAGAGCCAGCTAGAGCTCCTGCTCCTGACACTGCCCCAGCTACATTAGATCCAGCGATTGGTCTAGATCTGGCAGCTGTAGATGTTACACCGCCAGCTAGTTGAGATGAGCTACTTGCCGATAACCCTGCTACAGCAACGGTTCGAGATGATTGAATCACGGATCCGTATGAGCTAATTGGTCCCTGGACACCTAGAATAGGATATAGATCTGAAAGTAGTGATTTATCTCGCTTCAAAACACAAAGCCGTCCTACTAATCTGTAAGGTTTGCTCGTACACTCTTATAAAGGTGGGAAGTTTGTAATATAAAGCAAATATAGAGAAATAGAAGATATACGGAATAAAGAAATTGGTTATACTTTTATTCTATAATAAAAAGCTTCTTACAGATGTTCGTAAAAGTATTACAGTCCATACCTGGTAGTCCTCTGGGTCCTCTCAGTCCCTGAGGTCCTTGTGGTCCTGCTTGTCCAGCTGGCCCAGTAGGTCCTTCTTGTCCACTTGGTCCTTCAGGCCCTGCAATGCCTTGAGGTTCCGCTGGGCCCACTGATCCTATTGGTCCTGGTAGTCCTGGTATGCGGTCCAATCCGGGGAGACCTGGATGTCCATTAATGCCTGGAATACCTGAGGGGTCGGGAGGTCCTGGAGGTCCAGGGGGTTCTGGGGGACCTGCGGGTCCAGAAGGTCCATTGGAGCCAGGTTGACCATACAAGCCTGGTAGTCCGGAAAGCCCAACTTGTCCTGAGATGCGTCTAGTCTCCGTTAAGGGAGATCTAATAACAGAAGAAGAAGCTCCAGCTAGACTGCTGGTTTGGAAAACACCACCTCAGCTCAATGCCGAGGCGCCTGCACCAGAGCTGGATTGAACTACGTTAATGTTGGAGTTACGGGAGATAGAAGCAGCTTCTGCGCCAGCTCTAGATTGGGCAGTTGACAGACTCTGAGCACCAGATAAGCTTTGTGCACCTGCAGCAGTGTCTGCTGAGCTGGCAGATTCAGCAAGATTGGCGTTGTTAGGGGATATTTTTGAGTTTGCAGATGCACCAGCAGACGCTAAGGCGGCAGAGACAGTTAGACTTCTTCTGCTGGATGTGGAAGATAGAGCCTGTGCTCTGGCAGCAGCAGACGCTGAAGATCCAGCTATTGCTCCAGATTCCGCGAGCTAGAAGAAAAACATACTTTATAACTCGACATACATTTCTGTCAAAATCTGAAATCGGATTAAAAATGCAAGAAAAAATAAAGAATTTAGATTGTTGCTATTTGAAATCTTCAGGCATTTGAGTGTATGCTAGTATTCTACCTTAACCAAGCATTCTGACACGAGGTCATGTAAGGGTACAAGGAATGGTTGAAACATTTGTTAAAATAATTTTTGAAATTAAACAATCAAGGGTTAGGGTTTGCCAAGTATGCTATAAGAAGAGACTATTTCGAAAAAAAAATTTTTAGGAAAGCTAAAAAATAGTTACCTGAAGGTATGCAAGGGAAATGCAGCCCAAAAGGACAATTGTAGCAGTTCTCATGATGAAGGCTGCTCAACTGATGTTAATAATTCTCGCTGCTTCAAAGTTTTTATGCTAAAATATATCCTTTGTTTCTTATTATTCTGTTACCGTTGATTTATTCGATCGAAATCGGCCAGATAATCGGCGCTCAGAAATGTTTGTTCATTTCATCAACTCAAACACCTTTGATGATATGAATTATCTGGCTAATATTGCTAACTACAATTATTTGCAATTGGGAGCTTAGAAATTCGTAGGTAAATAAGTAAATATTATGTCGTCTGTGACGAAGACGAAAAGGACAGCCTTATTCATGTACATGCAAATATGGCTTTTGAGATAAGTGAAAAGTGGAAGTGATATGGTCCATATAATTTCCAAATTATAAGTGCTTTAAAACGGCAATATTGCGAATATTTTTTAATATGACCATCTGGATGACGGCTTCTATCACTTATATACCCTTCGACTCAACTTTTTAAATGTTCTCACTTACGAGCATGCCTTCTTTTAAAAACTTAGCACAAATGAGCTTCCTTATCGTTTAAAGTCTAAGAAGTACCTATAAAGCGGCGTATATCCAAACGGAAAAAACACCTTCGAAATCTTAGTTCTTTTATTCGACTAGTTCTTTTTATGAATGGAGCAAACTGTACCATGAGCGGGAACGCAAAGAAAATGTTCTCTGTATCAAATCTGATCACAATCTTCTTGATTTTGTTCAAATCGTGATGAATATTCTATTGTTATGTAGAAAAACTTTGTTGGTATATTATCTTCTCACACAATTTATTAGAAATCCAAGAAACTTATGGGAAATAGGTTCGACCGAATCTGACAGTGACAGACTTTTTAATTGTCCTCGAGGTATAGATTAATGGCAAAGAATAACACTCTCCAACATAATAGCTAAGGTGGATATAATAACTGTAATTCCCTGGCATATCCACAGCAACAGCGATAAAAACTTGTTCTGTTATTTTTTGTTGACAGTGACAAGAATATCAGTACAAAAACAAACATCATTGTACAGTTAAAATATTCTTATTTAGTTTTCGGTTTTAGTGCTAGATACTGTTTGAACTATTTTTAAAATGGTCAATTCTCGTCCATTGGAAGAAAAAAACGAAGCGATTTTGCGATTTTTATTTATGGTGCGACGCGTAACTTTCACGAGACCGAAAGGATTATTAATGATCATTTCCCGAATCGTCCTATCTATATAAAATATTAAAGAGAACTTGTATCTAAATTTACAACTACTGGTAGTGTAAACAACAAAAAAACCCCAGGTCATCCGACCATCCCGGAAGAAAGGCAAGTTTAAATAACTGGTGAGATCATAGTAAATCCCTAACAGTCTACTTCCGCCATCGCGAATGTATGTGAGGTTTGTCGTTCTACTGTATGGAGACTTTTGAAAAAGAGTAAGTATCACCCACACAAAATTCAAAAGGTACATCGGCTAACTGAAGGTGACCCTGATCGAAGAACATAGACAAAACTGTCGTTATTGGAGTGACACTAATCCTGACATCTTCCGGGAAACTCATACTCAATATCCACAAAAATTAACGTTTAGGCAGGGATATTGGGAAACCATATTGCGGGGCCTCTTTTCACCGAACAAACTTTAACCGGTGAACTATATTTGGATGTGCTGGAAAATCTATTGACCCTCTAATCACCGAAATCGTCGAAGTGAATCCTAATGAATTCGATACTGATATTGTACTCGAGCAAGATGGTGCTCCACCACGCTACTACAGACAAGTTAGGAATTACTTAGATAACAATTTCCCCAGTCGTTGGAATGGCCATCGAGGTCCGGTGGAATGACCAGCTCGCTCGCCCGATTTGACAACTTTAGACTTTTTTTCATGGGGCTATTTGAAGCAAAAGGTGTACGAAACTGAACCTGCTTCAATATTGGATATACGGTTGAGAATAACAGATATTTGTAGAAATATCGATGTTACTATGTTTGAAAATGTTTGATGCGAAATTACGGACCGGATGTTATTGTGTCAAGAAGATCAAGGCAACCATTTCCAGCATCTTATAAACTTAAAGTTATCAAGTTAAATGTCAATATATTCAGGCAGTTATTAAATGTACCACCAATTTATAGTAGGTAAGGGTATTGACTTTATATTCTACTGTTATAAAGTACTCGTCAAGAGCTTCCCAATGATGTGTCACAAGACCCCCGTTTTAATATAATTTTCTTTCCAAGATGGCGCCCAGCGGCCATGTTCATTTGGCAATTTTACTCTAAAGTATGGTATCCACGCATAAATTTCGTTACCTCAAGTTTTAATTTTTTGAATTGATCCGTTCAAAAAATCAAAGGGGGGGGTCATTAATGAAAAACACAGTATACATATACATTTTCCCAGTAATTGAGTCTATAACCAATCTGGATTTTGATTATAAAAAGTTATTCATCGTTATGCATACAACTTCTTGAAATATCTGCACTGTCATTTTTAGATTGGTAATATCTAGTTTAGTGCTCTGTTTCGATTGTCTGCGCTGGGTTTGAATTCAAAACCTTGTTTAAATTCAACCTGATACTGTCTTGATTCTACTGAGATTTGACATATAACTTTGCCTTGATTTTTCAATAAGTCACACGTTCATTCCGAGTCTGCGTCACTCTTTTCTTCTCACTTTCACCTGGTATTTGAATCAATGCGATTGCTGCTATCGTGGTTTGTAGTTGTCAGTCTTTGAGTAATTAGAGCTTCTTCAGCTATCAAAGAAACAGGCCTCAGCAAATAAAGAGTTACTCCTACAGATTCTGGGTGAACCCATATCCTAAAAATTTCGTAGACTCCTGATAAATTCTATAGGACATAGCAATGATAATATTCCAAACAAGTCATTCTTGAGTGTTGCTACAGCTCACATCCAAGGAGACATGGTTCATGTTCCTCACAACTTTATTTTGAAAATTTGCATGATGTTGGTATTGGAGATTTTGAAGAAGCTCCGTAGTTGACAACCAAAGTAGTTTCATACAATGGAGTGATAGATTGAAAATCTCTCCAATAACCAATAACATTTTTGTAGTCAAGGATAAAGGCCTCTCACTCTTTTTTCAGGTGGATGTTAAGTCGCATAAGTCCATTCATGGGCATACTGAACTGGTCAATATAATAATGAAGGTCGTCTTCTAGCTATTCAAATGATAGCTTTCTCTGAATCAATACATTCGAACATTCACAATTCTTACAAAAAAACACACAAGCCTCGTAATTATAAAATCTTCACCATATATGATATAACACGACAGCTGCAACAACTAATGTCTTTATTTCTTACGTATAAATGGCCTACTGTTGCTGGAAAACACATTTATAGTGTGAATTATCTGAAAGAAAACCATAACGGGCACCATAAAATGATATTTATGGGCACAATATCTGTATAGAGAGGCTATGATGTAGTTCGGGTCCTACATTTATGAAAATGTATAGTTCTCTGATGCAAGTTTTAGGTGTTTTCTCGCATATACTGAATTTTACATGGCCTCCTGTAGTACCGCCACCTACCTTCACAGTAATGAAGCAATATCTAAATTATTTATTTTACCACACGTAACACCGCACTTTAAAATCACATTTCTATAGTGGCTGGTCTGTGTTTATCAGAGCAAGATTTGATCAGAGAGAATATGATCAATTGAGATTGATAACCCATCGTTCAACAAAATAAGGAATTTTGGAACAAAAACAATAACCGAGAAGACCGTTTTTCGATGCGTTAATTATTAGAGAACTTAGCAGATTCTTTCAGCATTATTCCTCACACATAAATGTTTAGATGTCACTAAGCTTCTATCACAAATTGACGTTCATTCAGTTACAGGGTTACAGGATCACATCTGACCAGCTAGTCATACAACCCAATACACATTTTCACATCGTAGTCCAGGACCAAGTATTTTTGCATCTCCTTGGAAAAAAGTCCTGGTTCGTTTTCTTCCATAATGTTTTTCAAAAACGACCCCTTTCAACTAGTTTCCATGTTCCCAAATATTCTTCAATCATCCATTAATAAAATCCTGAAGCAGTTACGGGGTATTGTTATTGTAAACCTTTGTTAATCAAACACGCTCTCAACACAAGTATAGTTTTTTTGAGGCGGTGAAGTTAGCAAGCTGAAATTTAAGATGGTGAATTGAACATCAATACTACATCTTTACGTAAAAGTAATAGTTTAAATGTTTAATAA